GAGAGGGGGGGGGGAGTGAGCGAGCGGCTGCGTGGTTCCAAGTTGCCGGCTGGGCTTAAACCACGACAGCCTCCTTCAGATGCTGGAAGGCTGCTATGAGGTCTCCACGCAGTCTTCTCTTCTCCAGGCTGAACAGCCCCAACTTCCTCAGCCTGGCTTCATATGGGAGGTGCTCCAGCCTTCCTGTCATTCCTGTGGCCCTCGTCTGGACTTGCTTCAACAGTTCTGTGTCCTGTTTGTGTTTGGGACACCAGAAATGGATGCAGTATTTTGGAAATAGTATTAATACTACTTTTTTCTGTCCTCAGAGCCAGATGTCTTTGAAATTGTTCTCCCTATCACCGTGCTTGTGCTGAGCGATGATGATTTCCTCCCAGATGACTCTGAGGAGCAAGCAGTGTCAGTTCCCAAGTCAAAGGAGGAGGATGAGCTGGAGGTGAACTTGAACAGTAGCGTTCTCCTTCAAAGTAATGGGACACCTTCAAATGACAGTAACAGTGTAAGCATTTGGAATGAAAATAAGACTTCTTCAAATAAGGATAATAGTATGACACGCACTGAAGAAAAACAGGTTACCAAGAGTATGTGTAACGAATCAGAATTGTCTTTAACTGACGGGTATGGTGCAGGCACAGATGAATGTCAAAATTACGTATTGCCTACATCATCTTGCAAAACACAGCTTCCAGAGAGAAATGCAGCCAGTTACAAAGAAGAATGTGATGGTGGCTCTCAGAGTATTCCTCCTCTCTTCTCTGCTGGCATCAAGGGTAGAGATGATACCATCAAAACAAACAGCCAGGTGACAGCAGTGATACACAAACATGAAGAGGAACCTGTCAGTGTTGCAGATGGTGGCAGTCAAGAGAAACAACCTGAAATCCACAAGGAGATTGAGACAATTGTTGAAATGAAAGGTAACTTGTTAATAAGCCTTGTGCAAGAGCTTAAGAAATCTCAAGTTTCGAAATAAGTAGTGAGGTGTATAGGAAGAATGCAGAACCCATTTATTTTAGACTAAGCATTTCAACATGGATTAGTATCATATGCAGCAGAAAGAGAATATTGGCTGGAGTATGCTTAGTTCTTTGACAGACTCCTGTGAAATGTAATGGAACTAAAATAAGTTGGTACTGTTGCATTATGCTGCAGTTTGCAAAAAGGCAACCTTCCATTAGGAAAAAGGATCTGAAAGTAAATTGAAAAAGCAAAAGGAGCATCATATTTGTGAGAATGGAGCCCTAGCAAAGTTTGGTGATGGTACTTTTCTAGGAATTCTGGCGTAAAGCTGTTCCTTAAAAAGTATAGGGGATGCAGTGTTGTCCAGTCAATTTCAGAGCTTTAAGTGGGAAGAAGGCTTCTATCTGGGATTTTTCATTTTAAAACATTATTTAAATGATGGGGGGTGGGGATGGGATGTGAACACATATATGGAACACAGTCACAGAGTGGTTTGATTTGGAAGGGACCTTAAAGATGATCCTGTTCCAATCCCCTGCTGTGGGCAGGGACACCTTCCAGTAGACCAGGTTGCTCCAAGCCCTGTCCAACCTGGCCTTGAACACTACTAGGGATGGGGCAGCCACAGCTTCTCTGAGCACCCTATGCCAGCACCTCAGCACCCTCACAGGGAAGAACTTCTGCCTAAAATCTAATCTAAATCTCCCCTCTGTCAGGTTCAAGCCAATCCCTCTTGTCCTCTCCCTACAGGCCCTTGAAAAAAGGAAAAAATTAACAATCAAAAGGAGTAAAGAGCAATCAAGTCATTAGAAAATTTGGGATTATAACTACCAGTAGATCATGAACATTGGTGATTGTATGAAGTGTCATGCAATGCATGTGACTTTTTATTCCCTTGTAGATCCTGACTCTTCAGAGGATGAAGATAATGAAGCCAGTAACAGTGAAACAAAGAGAAGTGAATTTGAAGATGAAACTCTGGGTTCTCTTTTGGAACATGGCTTGAAAGAAGAACCAAAGTTTACCTATAATTGTTCTGATCTGTTTCTTGATGGATGTTGTTCTACTTCAGAAGAATTACTAAAAGAGGTAGGGAAAACAGAGATGGGTGCCTCTACTTCTGCTGAATCAAGTACTACTGGAGAACATATTTGTAAGACATTATCACCATTTCCTAAAAAAAGACATCAGCAGCAAAAAGTAATTTCTTCTCATGCAAGCCCTAAAGAATCCCAAAACCAGCAAGAAGATTTATCATGCCTAAGTAATATTATGACCATCAAACCTCTTCCTAAAGCATCATCTTCTACAAATAAGCACGAAAGATTGAATTTGAAGTGCAGGTTTTGTAGTTCTGTATACAAATGCAGTGCACGTCTAAAGAAACATCTTTATTCAGCTCATAAAGATAAGAAAATGTATAAATGCTGTTTTTGTAAAAGAACCTTTTTCTTTTCTGTCACCCTTAAGAATCACCTTAAGCTTCATAAGAAAATAACTAGGCTGAAAAAGGCAAGAAAAAATAGAAAAAATGTGAGAAAAGTTGGGCAGAGAAGATCTGAAGACAGACAATCTGAGACCAAGAAAAAAGAAAGTAAATATGATAAATTTTTCATCAAAATGGAAAGGGACTTTACACCTCTGAGTGTGCCAGTTAGTTTTTCCTGCAGAATTTGTTTTTTTGCTTCATCAAATCCTCGGGTTTTTATTTATCACATGAAGGGACATAAAGAGAGACCACCCTACCAGTGTCCTCAATGTGATTATTCCTGCTTTAGCTTATCCTATTTGTTGAATCACATGTACTGGCATGCTGGATATAAGCTATACCAGTGCAGGTTTTGCACCTTTTTTTCGCTGTATTTTTCAAGCATGGTAAGGCATAGCTACATACACACAGGGGCTAGACCGTATTCCTGTGAGTTCTGCCAGTCAGACTTCACAAGCACTACAGCATTAAAGAGACACAGAAGATTACATGCAGGGAAAGAAACCTGCCAAGGGCAGCAACTCGACTCAGCAACTGGAAGAAAGAGAACTCAAAGACCTGTAAAGAATCATACATGTGATGAGTGCAACATGGTGTTTTACACTAAAGGACATCTCAGATTTCATAAAAAATTTCATGAACGGTTTAAGACTAATGGTTATACGAATCAGAGCAATGAATATCATGAAAGAAAAATATGCAAAGCTAACAGTGATTCCCAGGAGACTGTGTGTCTTTCTGATGGTGAAGAAAATGATTGTCTCGGTGGGGGAGTGCTGGCTTCAGCAGTAGACTCCAAGCAGGAAAATGATGTGTGGGACAATAAGAAAATGCATTCTAGAAAGAAATTCTCTGAAAAGAGTCATGGAAGCAGTAGCTTACCTGTTGGGAATAGATCAGAAGTTCCTCTGAATTCACACCATATGAAAGCTGTCGTTTTCAAAGAGGAACCTCTCTTCAACTCCAAGGCTTCTCATTCACAAGTTCAAGATGATGATGCATATCATAAATATGTGGAAAACCTAAAGGTGACCTGGCCTTCCAATTTGTCCACATTCAAAACATACAGATGCCAACACTGCAGTTATGCTACCACTGTTCATAGCAACTTTAGGCTGCACTTGAAATTACATACAGATGAAAGACAGTTTGTGTGTAAAGAATGCAACAAAGCATTTAAAACATCAAATGATTTGCAGAAACACAGCCTAATTCATGTAAAGAATGGATATAAGTTTGGCCATTGCTTCTATGTAGATAGTTGTTTGGAGGATCTTGAATGGCATCGTGAAATGCATGTAGGTATGTGTCCGCAAAGAGATTTTGGTTCCTCAGAAGGTTCAAACAGTGTCCGTTCCTTGCTTGGTTCAAAAGTCTGTGGACTACAGCCAGATGTCCAGGGGGCTGAAGAGAATGATTTGCTAGCAGAGAGTCAACCACAATATTATCAGTGTGCAGAGTGTGAGTATGCTACTTATATTTTAAGCAATCTTAAACTACATGTAAGAACTCACACAGGTGAGAGACCTTACAGCTGCAGTGTTTGTCAGAAGAAGTTTCGTACTTCCAGTCACCTTAAAAGACACGAAGTCATGCATTATAATTCAGATTATCTGAAGTGCAGGAACTGTGACTTTTCCACAAACAAATGGCTGTCCTTGAAGCAGCATTTGGCTTCGCACTCTCGTGAAGAAAGCTCATCTAGTGGCTGTCTCTATGAACAAAAGCAGCTACCTGTCAAAACATACACGTGTGAAGAGTGTGGCTACTGCACAGTCCACAATGGAAACCTGAAGCTACACATGAGGATTCACACAGGGGAGAAGCCGTTCAAGTGCAGTCAGTGTGCTCTCGCTTTCCGCACATCTAGCCACCTGAAGCGCCACTTGGTGACTCATTTAAAGTTGCACTGCAGAAAGTGTAAATTTTCTACGGTTGATAAATGTGCTTTCCAAAACCATGTGAAAACACACCAAAGAAAGCACAAGTGTGGGAAGTGTAATGTGATGCTGCCTACCAAAAAACTTCTGGAACAGCATAAGCGGCAACATGGGCTTGAAATGTAATCTTGGGAATTGCAAGTTGGCACCTGGTTCTAGAGAGACTTGCATGTCCTGAGTTTGTTCTTTGCTTTGCATTCCTCTGCTGTCCTCAGAACAATGGCTGTTAATGGATGCATCTGGTGTTTTGGTCCAGAGGGTGAAACTTGGGGTACTGGTTTGCTCGTTTCTTGCAACAGCTTCGTTTCTAGCACAAGCTGTGCTAAAGAAGATCGTGGACATGCTTTTTCATGCTTGGGTAACTTAAGATTATGAGGTCAGTTATGATTTGATATGTTCATCAGTTTAAACAGTTATTCTGTGCCACTTTTTTTCTTAAAAAAAACCCCAAAACTTTACAATCTAAAGAATGTTTAAAGGGGGGAAGGAAGTGCACGTTATGTTTTGTAGTAAAAGCTTAGCATTTAAAAGTTGTCGTTGTGTTTCAAGGCTTAGTGCTGCTTCCCATCTGCTGAAAGCATCTTTTCCTACTCGCAGGTTCTCTTGCAAGTATTAAAAGAGGGGGAAAAAAACAATACCTCACAAAGTTACAGAAAAAGGATTTGTGTCATCAGTGGATTACAGGGTTATGTTTCCTGTATGTGTCTGTACGTGAAAGGTTGATTAAGCAGTTATCTTGACTATACTTCTGATAATTCCTTTGAGTAGTCTGACAGAAATGGTGATACTGTCCTTAATCAGATATTTTCTGATACTGGGAATTCTTAAACTGATCTTCAATTTTTTTGTAAATGTCTGATATTAATCTATGAAACGCGTTATCTTTTCTCAGGATGGTAGTTACTACGCTCTGTTTCTTAAAATAGACAATATCATACTTTTCAAAGAACTTCTGTTAATTTAACCACTTGCTGATGTATGGAGAATTAGCAATATCTTGAAATTAATTAATTTTGTAAAATTAATTTTGTTAAAGAGCTTTCCTGTGCATTTACAGTAACATGTGTAAGGATCACTTGTGCTAAACAGTAGTTGTTACCATGGTGAAGACAGATGGATGCTTCTTCCACTTTATATTCAAATCTAGATGAATCTTTGATTGTTTTATAGAGTTACATGTTGCGAGAAGCTCTGTGTGGACATGACTGGCTGTAGTATGTTCAGTGGTATTGATAACGGGTGTTATCCAAGGAAAGGCAGTAGCAGAGGGCTGGTTCGAACCATCCCCTGATGTACAGTTCAGTCCGTGGAGCAGCAGAGTAAACATATAGCTTAATTTAGAGAATGGAAACATGAAGCTACCACTGTGTTTTTAGTGCTCTCAAATGTATGTTTTTCTTTATAAATGTAGATAGTATCTTGCAGAGGCTTTCTGGTAATGTAGGAGATGGGTTGGAAATGGTTGCCAAGAGAGGTAGTGGATTCCCACTCTTTCAGACATACTTGGAAGCCACCTGGATGTGGTCCTGGGCAACCAGCACTGTGTGTCATTGCTGGACCAGGGCTTGGACCAGGTTAACTCCACAGGTCCCATAGCCATTTTGTGATGTGGAATGCAATTTTCCAAGTGTGGATCAAAATTCATGAATAGGAGCATGTAGTTCTGGCCAGCTCAGCAAATGTATTTAAATTATCTAGTTCTTTATAGTAAATCAGATAAGTAAATGCCAGTGACTGAGCCGTGGTGGTTACAGATGTTTCTACTACAAGCTGGGAATGAGTGATTCAGATCTTGCAATGACTGAGCTGACCACCTAATACAGTTGTAAGAAAGAAGAATGTTATCCTGGCATGAACAAAGAAAAGCATTTCTGAGAAATGCTAACAGTTACACAAGTGTGGAGGAATTTTTACCGTATTGTACAATACCAATCATTTATTTGAAGAAAAATTCAAAAGAACAGGTACAAAGAGGAAACAAAAATGGTGAAAAGAATTGTAAGTCTGTATATCAGGTGAGATTAGGGAAGCTAAATATGCTAGAGAATAATTCTTTAAAAGTTTGGTGTACAGCAGTAAAGGGAGCCCAATTTAAGGGAGATAAATGCATTGGAGATTTTTTTAAAAGATTTTGTACACAGTGTAAGGTTTTTTTAGTTATAATTAAGAACAACAGGAGATATTTTCACATGGAGCTTGTTAAGTTTGTAAAACTGATTATTCCAGGTGGTTGCCTCTAAAAAAAAAAAAAAAAAAATAAAGTGTTTGACTTCTGAGGTTCCTTTTTGTTTGTTGTGCAATGCACTGCACTTTTGGGGATGGGAAATGATTCTTAGTAGAAATCTAAATGTAAAGGCATAATTCTTTTAAAATAAGGAGATGGGCTGTTCTTGATTTTTTTTTTTTTTTCCCTAATTTAAAGTGTAATTTTTTTATTCTTGCAGAGTTTTAACAAAACTCAAAGCCTTTCCTAAATCATACTAAGTTTTCTATTTCAACAGAAAAAATTGCTTTATTTTGTTTATGGACACACCTTGAATTTGGATAAAACAATGAAATATAATAGGAAATCACACCTATGACAACTTGAGCAAATGGGTGTTATTTTATCTGCTATGCATCTACTAAATAAGTGAATAACAGTTAAGCACGGTAAGTAAATGAGCACAGGTGAATCGGACCATGCTGCTATATGGTTCACCACCACCCAAATGGATCTACAATGGAAGGAAGAGAATAACAACATTTTTTTTACATATTACTCTATGCTACTCTCTCAATTTCATTTTGGGCTACAGAAAATGCATGTGGGTTTGGTTTTATTTTTATTTTTTTCATATTAAGGTGTGTTTTCTGAAGTGTAGCATCTGCTTTTCTGCTGTTGGCCCTCTCTGTGTCTGGCGCTATGCGCACCTCCGGCCCGCAGGGGGGCGCTAGCGCAAAGCGCCACCACAACGCGCCGTCGGAGGGGGGCATACCAGCGCGAAGCCTGCGCATGCGCAGATAGCCCCCCCGCCCCCCCGCACCTGTACGCCTGCGCACAGAGCGCAGCTTC